ACCAGCAGGTGGAGCCAGTTACACTCTAAAGAGCAATCACCAATCAAACGCACTCTCATACACACACACACACACACACACACACACACACACACACACACACACACACACACACACACACACACACACACACACACACACACACAGTGTTGTTTCAGCTGCAGTGAGTCTCTCATGATTCAGTGTTGATAATGCATGAGTCCTGCTGGAAACTCTCAATGATTCTTCTCAAGAACCTGAAGCTGGAAAAGCTGTTGTGTGTGTGTGTGTGTGTGTGTGTGTGTGTGTGTGTGTGTGTGTGTGTGTGCAGTGACACAGACTGTGGTGCAGATGCTGACATTACTGGGTCTGTGGTTTTCCATTAAGAGCCGTGATGACTGCAGTGTGTGTTGTGTAGTGTAGTGTAGCGTAGTGTTGTGTTGTGTTGTGTTGTGTTGTGTTGACGTTCTGCTGTTGTGTGTCCTCAGAGCTGGCAGGACGGCTCCCGCTGGCTGCAGGATCTGCTGGAGCTTCACACGGCGCGGGTTCGAGACGTGGAGCTGCTGACGGGGCTGGACTTCCTGCGCTCCTCCGCTCTGCCATACACGCGTGTGCTGGCGCTCAAAACACACATGGAGACCTACGAGCAGCACGTGTGACGCACACACACACATACACACGCTCTGGAGTTTACACACTCTGTCATATTTATTATTCTCCCTCAAACCGTGTGAACATCACATGACTGCGCTGCAGACCTCCATACTCCCCCCTCAGCCTGACGACTGCACACCGCACCGCTGCAGCAGGTTACACCGTCCTTATTTGGGACCATTTCTCTTTAATAATTCCTGCTGTGGACTCCTTTAATGTGGAATAATTAGAAGATAAACCACATGTCCTAATGATATGCAGCACAGAGATGCTCCGCTCATCTAGAGTTTATTCTGCGTGTTGACAGTGGCAGCACTTCACAGTCAGGTTCCATTAGTTCACCATGACGAAGACTTCACAGGCATTTTAATCAAACACCATAAAGATAATATTATCAGACAATACTGCTGTCTCTGCTTCTCCAGTACACATATCTAGACATTCTGTAAACTAACAATAACAGTTGTATTGTCATTAACCTAAATTACCAAAGATTAATAAATCCTCACCGCTAACAGGACCTTATTATAAAGTGTCACCCACAGCTTTCACCTGTACTGTGTTGCCGTTTTGCCGTTGATCACTAAATTTATTTAGCTATTATTAGTGATATAGAAACACAGTGTTGATGTTGTCATAGAAACACATTGTTAATATTGTTATCATAAAAACTAATATTGTTATAGAAACTCAGACACATTGTTAACAGTGTTGTCAGAATGTGTAGCAGTGTTTTCATTGAAACACTATCAACTGTGCTTAATAGCGCTGCCATAGAAACATTGTCAACATTGTTGTCAAAACACAGTGTTAATAGCGTTGTCATAGAAACACAATGTTTATAGCGTTGTCATAGAAACAGTGTTAATAGCGTTGTCATAGAAACATTGTCAACATTGTTGTCATAGAGACAGCATTAATAGCGTTGTCATCGAAACATTGTTAACATTGTCATAGAAACGGAGTGTTAATAATGTTGTCATCAAAACACTGTTAATAGCATTGTCATATAAACATTGTTGTCATAGAAACACAGTGTTAATAGTGTTGTCATCAAAACACTGTTAATAGCATTGTCATATAAACATTGTTGTCATAGAAACACAGTGTTAATAGTGTTGTCATCAAAACACTGTTAATAGCATTGTCATATAAACATTGTTGTCATAGAAACACAGTGTTAATAGTGTTGTCATCAAAACACTGTTAATAGCATTGTCATATAAACATTGTTGTCATAGAAACAGTGTTTATAGTGTTGTCACCAAAACATTGTTAACATTGTTGTTATGGAAACAGTGTTAATAGTGTTGTCATTGAATTGTTGTTAACAGTGTTGTCATAGAGACACGGCTAATAGTGTTGGCATTGAAATCTTGTTAACTTTGTTGTTATAGAAACTGTGTTAATAGTGTTGTCATAAAAACGTTAACATTGTTGTTATAGAGACAGCATTAATAGCATTGTCATCGAAGCACTGTTAACATTGTTGTCATAGAAACAGGGTTAATAGTGTTGTCATAGAAGCATTGTTAACATTGTTGTCATGGAGACAGCATTAATAGCGTTGTCAAAGAAACATTGTTAACAGTGCTGTCATAGAAACAGTGTAGTCATAGAAACATTGTTAACAGTGTTGTCATAGAAACAGCAGTAATTGGATTGTCACTGAAACATTGTTGACAGTGTTATAGAAATACAGTTAATAACGTTGTCATAGAAACATCTGTAACAGAAACACAGGTTAATAGTGTTGTCAAACACAGAAACACCATGGTAACAGTGCTGTCATAGAAACAAAAACAATGTTAACAGTGCTGTCATGGGAAGTGTTAGTAGTGTTGTCATAGAAACAATGTTAACGGTG